GTCTACCTCATATAAACAAACCTCATGATTTATTTCTCTCTTCCTACTGATTAAAAAGATAATAATTACAGTATTTATAAATATTTCTCCACCATCACCGTCTCCTTTTTGGTAGGTATGGTTACTTAGGGATTATGTTAGGAAGTTTCTTTTTTCAGTTTTTTTCTAGGCTTTTGTTATTCTTATTTTTACTTTTCCCCTTTGAATATATATATATTCAAAAATGTAGAAAGAATACTGAACAAGAAATCAAGAGATTATGTGCAAACTCTAGCTCTGTATAGTTTTAAGTTTGTGATATTACACAAATTACATAGAAGTAAGGACTTGAAATATGTATGTATACCATTTCACATATGATTGTTGTATGAATAAAGTTACAGGTACATAAGCACTTCTAGAAAAAAAAGGGCAGATATCATATCACAGAATGAACTCTTGGGATAGAAGGAATAAAGTGAATTTTATCAAGATATCAAATTATTGGAATTTAACTATTACCATGTTAATGGTCGTATTTTAACAATTCGACAATACTGTAAAGAATCGTGAAATTATGAGCATTATCAGTTTGTTCCTGTGGTCATCAAACAATACTTTCTTTCTTGTTGTTCATTTTGCTTTGTTTTGATAGCGCGAACTGGACCTTGCTCGGCAAGCGCTGTGCCGCTGAGCTATGTCCCCCGCCCCCAAACGGAATACTTTCACTACTAAATAGATGCTAATTTTCAACCGAGCCCGGTAAAAGACCGACATATTTTTGGCTTCTTCTGCCGTTCAGATTCCGTGGTGATGTCAGCACCACATTGTGACTTTTGCTTTCTGCTTGATCCAGGAATCATCAGCATGGCGGCACTTCTTTATTATACGATTTTACAAACTGCAACTTTGCTCACTGCGGACGGAAAATGCTTTTTGGACATTTTAAAAATGAGATTTAAGATAATTGTTCTCCTGTATAATTTTATTTATAGTCTTTTCGTACACTTGCTGCATTATATAGTCACTTGAGAAAATACTTGTTTTTGAACCTGGAATCTGGAGATAGATCGCAATGGGACAGCATGATTTAAGTTCTGGACGGACATTTGTTTGAGCGGTTCGATAGCCTGTACATCCTTCTTTGCTTTGGTTAAAAAAAAAAAAAATATGGAAAAGCCAGGCATAGTGGTGCATGCTTGTATCCCCAGTATTCAGAAGGCTGAGGCAGGAGGATCCCTGCGAGTTCGAGGCCACCCTCGGCTACATAGTGAGTTCAAGACAAGCCTGCACTACATAGACACCCTGACTCAAAAAACTAAAAAAGCATATTGAAAAGATTTTCTGTCATTCCATGTTGCCAATAATACATGGTGCCATCTTATTTTTTTAGATAGATTTCTGGTTGTTTCTGCACGTCCAACTGTCTGGTGGGAAGGGTACAGAAGCAGCATATTTGATATCATTAACTTTTTATGCATAGCAGATTTTAACTCTACAAACTGTTTTTAGTAACCTTTTGTGTACGAGGTCTGGGGATTGAACCCAGGGCCTTGGCACCACACTGAGCTACCTCCCCGTCCTCATATCCCCACCATAGGCATCCCCATTGTTTGAGACAAGGTCTAAATTACTAAGTTGCCTAATGGCTTGAATTTGTGATCCTCCTGCCTCAGCTTCCCAGAATTATGGGATTACAGGCATGTCCCACATATTTTATGAAAGAACTTTTTATCTTCACCAAATGTCAAAAATTGTTCCTCCTCTACCACTAAAACTAGCTGGCAGTTTCTAGCAGTGCTTTTGTTAAGCTTGCTATTTGAATTTTTATATAAGCTCATAAGAAAAAGGAACTGTTCTTTTTCTTGAAACATTGTTCTTGAAATATTTTACAATCTGTTGTTTTGAAATTTGATTATTAAGAACAGCATGGGCTCCGCACTCCTTGTTTTCCTGAAACTTTCTTTTACATTTTTTGTCCCACTCCTGTGGTGGGGACTGAAGCCAGGGCCTTGGGCATGCTACGCTAAGCTAAGCACATGTCAACACTGAGCTACACCCCTGCCCTACAGACTTTGTTACTTTGGGGTCAGAGCTGCTCCAGCAAGGTGTTGTTCTGTATGACTTTGGAGTTTCTGCCCCATATATTTCAACAGCAGCAAGGTTAATATTCTCCTTTTAAGTCATCCTCATGAGATGTGAAAAATTCCCCAATAGATTTTTTTTTCTTGAAAGACTCACAGAAGTTAAATAATTAAAAATTAAATATAGTATTTATTTTATTTAATGTTATGAATGCTAAAATGCCAAATAGCCAGGCATGGTGGAGCATACCTGTAATCCCAGCATTCGGCAGGCTGAGGCAGGAGGATCGTTGTGAGTTCGAGACTAGCCTGGGCTACAAAGGAGTTCAAGGCCAGCGTGAACTGCATAGCAAGACCCTGTTTCAAAGATAAAATAAAATACCAAATAAATCTACAAAGATTAAAATTCTGATGTAATCTGTTGTTTTTTCTGTTTTCTAGCACATACATGTTTTCATTTAAGAAGCTATTATTTATTGATTTTTGAATAGGGAACAAGTTTCTGTGATTTTGAAAATGCTAAAATAAGCTGGGCATGGTGGCATGTGTCCCAGCAGTCAGGAGGATGAGGCAGGAGGATCACTGCAAGTTTGAGGCCAGCTTGGGCTACAGAGCAAGACCCTGTCTCAAAAAAAAAGACAAAAGTAAGTTTACTCACTTTCACTCCAACTCCCCTCCCCTTTGTCTACAGTCAGCCAGTTTTCTAGTTTACTCTGAGTCTTTCTAGTATTTATATATGAATGTTTAATATATGTGAAAGTTCAAATACGTATTTTATCCCCGCCTTATTGCCCAAAAATCTAACATAATTTCTTCTATTCTTAATTTTGCCTTTTTTCATTTAGTGTATCCTGAAGACCCTCTCACATCAATATATAGAGAATTTTTCATTCACTTTTGCAGTTGGACCCCATTATGTCAAGTATTTCATAATGTATCTAACCAGGTGTCTGTTTATAATATTTGAAGTAAATTTTCAGAAGTGGGATTACTGGTTAAAGGGTAAAAGCATTTGCAATTTCAAAAATAGTTCATCTGCTGTTCATGGGACTGTAACCTTTTAGGCCCCCATCAGCAAAACATAAGAGCTGTACACGAGGGCACTGTATAGGATCCATTCTGCAAAGTGCTGAACTTGCTGCTACTCACAGTTCTCTTGCTACACCTTGCAGCCACTTTGACAGCCCACACTGCTGAAGATAAAACTATGGCAGCAACGCAGTACAGACTGATACTGCAGTGATTTAAACAACCAACTCCAGATATATTTATGGGACTAGTTGGGCATGCTGGTGCACACCTGTCATCCCAGCACAATGAGAGAGAGGATGTGACAGGAGGGTTGCAAGTTCAAGCTCAGCTTTGGCAATTTAGCAGTTTAATAAGATCCTGTTTTAAAATAAAAAATAAAAAAGGGCTGAGGATGTGGCTTGATGTGCAGGCCTTGAGTTCAATCCCCAACACCAGAGAGAGAGAAGAAGGAGGAGGAGAAGAGGAAGGAGAAGAAGAGGGAGGGGGAGTGGAGGGAGAGGAAGAAGAAAAAGAAGGAAGAAGACTGACTTATGGGAGTCATATGAAAAGGATACAGAGATTAATATGATGGTAAGTGAAAATATAATAGTTGGAAATAGAGCCAAGGAGGCCGGGCGTGGTGGTGCACGCCTACAATCCCAGCACTCAGGAGGCTGAGGCAGGAGGACCGCTGTGAGTTCAAGACCAGCCTGGGCTACAAAGTGAGCTCAAGGCCAGCCTGGACTGCATAGCAAGACCCTGTCTCAAAAAGACAAAAATAAATAAATAAATAAGAAATCGAGCCAAGGAATCCAAGGACTAATTGTAGGATATCCACTTAAAGAAAACAGAATAAGAGAAATTATAGAAATATTCCTTTTAGCTAAAGAAAGACTTGAGTCTTTGTAATGAAAAACAACTAAACTACAAAGAAAATAGGACAGATGCTCAATAAATATTTGGGTAATAAACAATAAAAATGACATATACCTGGACACATCGGTAGACTTTTAAAGTTTCTAGATTGAATTTAAAAAACTTTATAACCTAGGCAGAAATAAGTGGGTTCCTCACAAAATAAAAAATAAGACACAGTTCAGCATGGTGGTACACACCTGCAATCCCAGGCTTTCAGGAGGCTGAGGCAGGAGGATTGTGAGTTTGAGGCCAGCTAGGCAACTTAGTAAGACCCTGTCACAAAATAAAAAATAAGAAAAAGATTTGCTCAGTGGTAGAACACTTACCTTAGCATGTGCCCTGGTTCAATCCCCAGTGTACCACAAAAACAAAAACACTACAGAGAAACATCAGAATTCTTTTTGGATTAACACTAATTACTAGCAAGGTGATAGAGCATCATTTTAGACATCAGGTAAATATGAGCCAATAAGCCTATGCTCTGTTAAGGTATTTTTCATCAGAGAGAGTAATAGAAGGAAACTTTCATACATTAAAGGTCTCCTTCCAAACAAAACAATCCACGTGTCTTCTCTGGAAAAAAAAAAAAAAAGAAAGAAAGAAACACCCAAAGAAGTATTCCAGTCGACCAAGGAAGGAATCAAAATAAGGTAAAAATATGGAAGATATAGCACAATAAAAAGTAGACAACCATTTGAGACCACAAATATAGTTTAAATATTTTTTGTTTCCACACTATTGAAATAGTGAAAATGTAAAAAAACAAAACAACAACAACAACAAAAAAGCTTCATGGAAAGCTGGACGTGGTGGCACATGACAGTAATTCCAGGAGTATGGTCACAAGTTCAAGGCCAGCCTGGGCTACATAGTAAGACCCTGTCTCAAAAACAAAAGCCAGCTCTCCGTGCTGCTCAAGCAGGGTCCCATACGGCGTTGTTCTTGATTCCCATCGTAACTTAACAGGAAACTTCACAATGTCCGTAGCTCCTGATGTCCTGCAAATGAGGGAGCAGGATGTCCTCAAGTTCCTTGCTGCAGGAACCCACTTAGGTGGCACCAACCTAGATTTCCAGATGGAGCAGTGTATCTACAAAAGGAAAAGTGATGGTCAGTTGCTTTGATTTTTGTTATTTTAGCTGAATCTACATTATAAATCTGAAGTGGACCTGGGAGAAGCTTCTGCTGGCAGCTCGGGCCATGATCACCATTGAAAACCCTGCTGACGTCAGCATCATATCCCTCTAGGAACACCGGCCAGCGTGCTGTGCTGAAGTTTACCGCTGCCACTGGAGCCACTCCTATCGTAGGCCACTTCACTGCTGGGATCTTCACTAACCAGATCCAGACAGCCTTCCGACAGCCACTTCTTCTTGTGGTAACTGACCCCAGGGCTGACCAGCAGCCCCTCAGGGAGGCGTCTCACGTCAATCTGCCCACCATTGCTCTGTGCAACACATATGCTCCTCTGCGGTTTGTGGACATTGCCATCCCGTGCAGCAATAAGGGAGTTTATTCAGTGGGTCTGATGTGGTGGATGCTGGCCCGGGAAGTGCTGCACATGCGTGGCACCGTCTCCCGTGAACACCAGTGGGAAGTCATGCCAGATCTCTACTTCTACAGGAATCCTGAAGAGATTGAAAAGGAGGAACAGGCAGCTGCTGAGAAGCTGTGACCACGGAGGAATTTCAGGGTGAATGGACCGCACCAGCTCCGAGTCCACTGCTGCTCAGCCGGAGGTTGCAGACTGGCCTGAAGGCGTGCAGGTGCCCTCTGTGCCCATTCAGCAGTTCCCTACGGAAGACTGGAGTGCGCAGCCGGCCACAGAAGACGGGTCTGCAGCCCTGACTACACAGGCCACTGAGTGGGTGGGAACCACCACCGAGCGGTCTTGAGCTGCTCTGCAGCTTCTTCAGCAAAATGAAAAAGAGGCTGACAGAAAATAAAACACCAATTCCTTAAAAAAAAAGCCATTCATAATGATAAAGACATACTAGCCAAGCTTGGTGGCACATGCCTGTAATCCTAGCACTTGGATAAAGCAGGAGGATCCCCGTGAGTTCAAGGCCAGTCTAAACTACATAGTGAGACTCTGCCTCAAAAAAAAAAGAAAAAAAGAAAAAAGATACAGACATACCATATAAAATACTAGTAAGGGAAATCTAAAGGGTATTTTCCAGTTTTGATCTCAAGTGTCCCCCACAGGCTCATATACTAAAGGCTTGGTCACCAGCTGTGGCAAGGACTCAAGGTGGTAGAACTTTTAGGAAGTAGAAAGTGATGGAAGGATGATAGGTCCCTGGGGACATACCCTTGAAGGGGACATTGGGATCCTGGACCATTCCCCTGTCTTTTTGTTTCCCAGCTGCCATCAGATTTGTAGGTGTTATGGTTTGTATCTAGATGTCCCCCATAAAACCTCATGCAGTCATAGGTGGGGCTTTTCAGAGCTGGCTGGATCTGGAGCATGTGATACTGGGATTAAGGGTATATGGTACTAAATTAGTCCACTGATTGGAATTACCATAGTTCTGGGTGTGGATAATGGAAGCCCCACCCTGGGTGTAGATGGCAGGAATCAACAGGCTTATAGCCTGGATAGAATACAAAAGAAGAGAGGGGAGGTGGGCCTGCTGCTGCTTGCTACTTAGTGTCTCCTGCCTGCTTGCCATGGACTGTTTCTCCTCTGTGATGCTTCCCTGCCATACCACCTGCCTTGGAACCAGCTGACTATGGACTGAAACCTCTTCAGACTGTGAACTGAATTAAACCTTTGCTCCTTTAACTTTGGTTGTCAGGTATTTTGTCTCAGCAATGAGAAAGTAACCAAAACAAAGTTTTCCTCTGCTTCATGCTTCAGCCATAATGTTCTACCTTACCACAGGGCCAACATAATGCCAAGTAACCCTGGATTGAAACCTCTGAGACCATGAGCCAAAATAAACCTTTCTGCCTTTTAAGTTTTCTCAGGTATTTTGTCACAGTTGCAGAAATCTAACAGCACAGTTTCCTTGAATTTTTTTTTTAAACTGGTACTTAGTGAGGTACAGAGGAAAGAACTAAATGTGCTAAATCTCCAACAATATAAAGGGACATTAACAATAATAATCTTGACTATTTGTTGAATTATAAAACAATGTACTTAGTGCTTTATATTTAGTGTTTTATTCTACTCTCTATGAATAAAGGCATTGTCTGGGTTGCTCACCATTGTAACTCCAGAGCTTTATCCACTTCCTGGTTCATCGTAGGCAGTCAACAAATATTTGTGCAATGTTGAATAATCAAGCCTATAAAATAACCAGGGCTTAAAAGTATTACATGATCTAGCCAAGACTGCATTAGTAAAAGCTAGGATGCCAACCAGGCCTGTTTGCCTCCGAAATTCTCTCATATTTTTGTCCCTAAAACATAATGTTTTGAAGCGGGGAGAGACAGTGCATACCTGCAATCCTAGCACTCGGGAGGCTGAGGCAGGAGGATCACTGTGAGTTTGAGGCCAGCCTGTGCTACAAAGTGAACTCAAGGCCAGCCTGAACTGCATAGCGAAACCCTGTTTCAAAAAGAAAAAAAAAAAAACCCACAATATTTTGATTTTAATATTGATGCAAAAAGACAAGTTCATATATTTATAATTTTATTTCAAAAGTAACTTTCAGCAGACTTAAAGTGGAATTTTCAACTTCCAAATCAGTAAGAGATACAGTGGAACAAAGAAAGCTTGAGTAAATGAAAAATAAATAAAAAGAAGCCTCAAAGAAGCCCAAAAATGAAAAACAAAAAAGCCTAATAAAAAATGGGCAAGGAAGCCAGGCATGGTGTCACACCGTCTATAATCCCAACACTCTGGGAGCCTGAGGCCGGAGAACCACAATTTCAAGCCCACAAAAGCCTGTCTCAAAATAAAAAATGTTGGTAGTGCACCTCAGTGCAAAAGCCCTAGGTTTAATCCTCAGTAAGGGGGTGGTGGGGGGAGCACAAGCAAAATGCTCACAGAATTAAAAAAAAATGTTTAGACTGAAGGTGTAGCTCAGTGGTAGAGCACTTGCCTAGTGTGCTTGAGGCACGGTTTGATCCCCATCATACAAACACACACACACACACACACACACACACACACACACACACCTGCACTTACTAAAACCCAAGAAAATAAAATTAGTATGTGAAACAAACATACTTATTTAGGTTGGAATTTGGAATACAGAACTATTCTAATCTTTTTAAAAGTTCTTTTTGGCAGTATCTATTAAAATGAAAAATGCTCTTGTCTTTTTATAGTTTCCAGGGCTTTAAAAGTTATTTTCTACTTTTAAAATCATTTAGAAGCTCTAAATTTTATTTTTCTAGTATAAAAAATGTTCAGACGTACACAAGAGAATAATATAATGGATCTCAATATACCCACGAGCCAGATGCAACACTTCAATAATTAAGCTTTTGCTTTCCCTAGCTTTATCTATCCCTATTCTCTTTTTCATGCATGTTACTAAAATATTTTAAAGCAAATCCCGACATCATGACGCTTAATGTCTAAAAGATTTCATCATTTTCTTACATAACCATATGCTATTTCATACCTAAAAAACTAACAATAAATCACTGACATCATTTAGTGCCCAATCCATATTGAAATTTCCCCAAATGTCTCAAAGAATTTTTATACTGATTAGGTTGAATCAGAATCTGAGCAAGATCCATATTTTGAATTGAGCTGTTATGTCTCTAATATAAATGCTCAAAGAAACTGATGATATGTACTGAAGAAAGTCTCACATGTTACCGCCGACTGCTGCTATTATAATGGTTCTCAGACCTGTCCCCACATGAGAATCCCCTAGAGGTCTTTACAATGCCAAAATCGAGGCCTGCAAGACACAGTATTTTTTAAATTCTTCATTGGCTCCAACGTACAGAGATATTTGGGGACCATTGTGCTGTTTTTAAAGGAATTCTAGTCTATATTTCCCCTGAGATGTTACTTGCAAGACTGGGGGTGGAGGGTGGGGCAGATGAGCAGCTTCCTCAGAGGGAAGAACTTTCCAAGCTCTCTCCATTCTAGGCAAACCCTCCAACTTCTAAATGCCGCTGGGTTCAAAACAGGTGACGTCTGACTTTCAGTCACCCCTTCATCCTTGCCTTTTTTCCTTCCTAGCCTGACACATGGTAGAAGTCCAATACACGTACAGTGAACTAATAGATGGGATTGTGCTTGCACCAATGTGTCTTCTAGGGTCTGGAGAGCAGGAGGAAGCTATTAAATTCCTAAGGTGCAAAATTCAACACTGACAGGAGGGACAAGAGAATTCAGAAACCGTAAGGTGGGGAGAAAGGGATGAGCAACTTTTTACATCACTTGGAGGAGCTACTGTGATTCCCCGTGAGGAAGCTCTTCTCACCCGGAAGGCGGAGAGTTCAAGCCCAGGAGGGATCCAAGCCTTCCACGCAGGTGTGCCCCGCAGGAGTGCCCTGGAAAAGGTGCGAGGGCGCCGGGCTCGGGTCTGAGCTGGGGGGACCTTCAGCCCGCGTCTCAGCGCGGGTGGAGCCTGCGGAGAGGGCCCCGCGGCTGGCCAAGAAAAGTGCAGCCCTGGGAACCCGCCCACGTCCCCACTCGGCCACCCGCGGCCGCAGGAGTCGGTCCCAAGACCGACTAAGGCGCCAGCCTCGGCCCCGCCCCGCGGAGGGCCCCGCC